AGGAAAGCTCCTGTGTGTGCCTCCCCCTGGGGCTCCTTCCGCCCTGCAGAGGAGGGAAGCCCCAGCGCGTGCCTCCTCTGGGGACTTCTACCCCCTGGCATGCAACAGACTTGGGTTGTGGTACCACACCGAGGCTACGTGTACACTGGCCCCTTTTCCGAAAGGGGCATGCTAATTTCACAGGTCGTAATAGGGAAATCCGCGGGGGATTTAAATATCCCCCGCGGCATTTAAATAAAAATGTCTGCCGCTTTTTTCCGGCTTTTAGAAAAGCGGGAAAAGAACGTCTACACTGGCCCCGATCCTCCGGAAAAAAGCCCTTTTCCAGAGGATCTCTTATTCCTACTTTGGATTTCCCTATTATGACCTGTGAAATTAGCATGCCCCTTTCGGAAAAGGGGCCAGTGTAGACGTAGCCGCAGCTGTTTGGGGGAGGGGGAGCAGCCAGCACACTTCCTGAAACCCCAGAAGTGATGTGTAGCAGCCGGACTTCCTTCCACCCCGCAGGAAGCTAGCGCTACCTCCATTGTTGCTGGAGGTAGGTAGTGGGGCTTCTTGGGGGTGCGGGGAATGGGGGGCCCTGAACGCCTCGCGATTGAGTGGTTGAGCCCTCCTGATGGACCAGTCGATCGCAATCGACGGGTTGGTGACCACGGCAGTACTCTATAGGACCACAACAGCCATTATCAGAGGCTGTTTACATAGTCCTTGAGGACACCTCTCTGTGGATGATAAATGTTGTTTGAGACTTATTTTTCTCTCTAATGGCTCTTCTCCCAGCAAGCCATCTAGATCAGGGGTTTTCAAACTTTTTTTTCATGCAGACCACTCAAAAATTGATGAGGGTCTCTTAATCACTTAATGAGCTTTGCAAATGTTGTTTGTACCGTACTAGAGATGTAAAATCCTGTTTAATCAGTGTGGTGCTTACTAGGTAACTGGCTATTCATTCACATCTCTGGTTTTGAGGCTGGGAAGGAAGTCTATCTCTCCTGGCAGCCAAAGCCCTGGAGCTAGGGGATGTCATCCCTTTTTCGGCTGCTGCAGTACTGTACATCACACATTCCTCCTTTTTTCACTGCACTGCCTCCCCCATCTCCTATTTCCCCTACCTCACCCCACCTACCTCTTGTTCCCACCAATGTTACCACACCTCACCTTACCTGTGAGGGTCCAGGCACCTAATTAATTGAGATACATCTGTAAACCACTAATTAGGTGGGCTGCCCCAGTGTGCACCTTTAAAGGGAACTATCCAAGGACCACCTGAATGGAGTTCGTGGACATCTGGTGGTCCACAGACTGCAGTTTGAGAACCTCTGATCTAGACATTGCATTCTGTTTGATGGGTGTTCCCCAGGTGAAAACATACTTCTAATTAATACATAGCCAATATTCCTCACTTCAAATACAGAAATGATACAGGAAATGTTGCTGTTTATGGTGGGATGTGTTCTCGACACTGCCATGATTGGTGAAATTCATGAATACTGGGAACGGGGAAGCAGAGCAGGTGTTTTGTTCCTCCACAGTGAGTTCCCTACAGTTCCTGGCTGCTGTCGTGAGTGCAGGGGAGCCTGACAGCTGCAGCTGCCCCACAACAGGTCCACCTAAGGCCAGGTCTCCCCCAGGCCTGGGGAGACATTAATTATCTTACCCATTACAGATAGCTTCCCCAATTATCACCTCTAATATCATTAGCTCACAGACATTTATCTTCCCTCTTTATCCCCCTTCTGTTCTGAAATTTGATTTATCCTTTTCATATGTGTTCATTCTTTTGATTGTATCCTTTGGTATAAATGGTTGTGACAATTTTCTTCCACAATTTGATCTGAGGAAGTGGGTCTGGCCCACGAAAGCTCATCACCTAATAAACCATCTTGTTAGTCTTTAAAGTGCTACATAGTCCTGTTTTTTGTTTCAGCTACACCAGACTAACACGGCTACATTTCTATCACTAACATACTTCTTTGAGGAGTGTCCCTGTGGGTACTCCACTGTAGGTGTCTTGGCACCCCTGCACTTACAATTGGAACTTTTTAGCAGCAGTATTCCCCTTGGGTGCCGGCGTGCATGCGTGACACCACCCGCACCATAGTGAATGCACTGATGTGTGCGGGCTGTCAGTCATCCGTCCAGTTCCTTCTCAACCACTCCCAGCTTGGTTGGAACACAGCGCTCCTTGTTAAACTTAGTGTAGCATGAAGTAGTAATTAGTGTAGATAGTTCTAGAGATTGTTTTGGTTCACAGTTGGTTCCCCCTACCCTAAGTACAGGGGTAAGTTGATAGTTTAAATATTTTTTGTCCTCGTTCATAGTATTAGGAATAAGGTTATGATGTCAGGCTCACCAGGATTTAAACGGTGCCTGACATGCAGAATGTCCATGCCCATTTCCGATGTCCATGCCCCATGTATTAGGTGCCTGGGCCAGGATTGCTCTCCTATGAGCTGCTACCACTGTGAGAAGTTGTCTTCCAGATCTCTGAAGACAAGGGAGCTTCAGTTTAAGCTCCTCACTATGGAGAAGGTAGAGACACCAGCCTTGGAACCGGCATCGAGCACTTCTCCACCCTGTACGTCTTGGATCGGGGATTATCCGCACCAAGAGGAGCCTGCCAAGAAGACAGCTAAAAGAAATCATTCCTCACCC